AACTCATACTTATTTTAATTAAATATTTATGCCTGGAAATGAACTTACTGCATAGTAAACTAGAGAAAAAATAAAAACAGTATTAAAAAATAAGCAAGTAGAAATATTTTATAATTATTTAAAGCATTAAGGAATTTTCTTTCCTTTGTTTAGCTGATTAAAAAATCAGCTATCTTATTAGGAATTTTAACATCCTGCTTTAGAACTGGAAGTTTTCAGACTCTGTTATCAAAAAACAAAAATAAAACTATGCCAAAATACATAAGCTAAGTCAATAAAACTTGGCTAAGTGATTTTAAAGAATATTTATTAAATTTTTTATAATTCATTATATTCTGGCTTACAAAATCTTAAAAGCATCTTAGGTCTCACTGATTTAAGCTTTATTATAAAGTAAACATTAAAAAAAGCCTTTTTTGATGTAGTATACAAGTGTGTGTATACATATACACAAACACACATATATGTGTGTGTACTAAACATAAGAAATTCTCATATTTAAATGTCACACAGACATTCAAATTTCTGAACCTCAAGGTACCAAACTGACTGCTTTTCCTACTGCACTGCCATCACTTTCTCTCTAATGAACTTACCTATAATCATAGGCAGTTAGTATGTAAAAAATAAAATCAAAGGCTTTAAGCTAAGTTGTTAACTTAAACTAATCTGAAACCCTGTGGCTCAAGACAGAAATTTATACGTAATATCATTAGTCAAATCTGCTGTTTCGCTACTAGCTTAAAGAAAAAAATTTCACTTTTTGTGTATTCAAAACATGAAGTTCTCTATCAACTTATAGACCACTGTAAGAAAAATGTGGTCTAAGGAATTAGTCTTCTGTATTCATCTGAATAAAGCTAACAATTCCTATCTTTAAAAACAACTACTTAAAGACAAATTGAATTGTAATATTTCAGTCTCAAAGAAACAAAAAAAACCTTAAAACTTTTAAAATGATATAAACTTTATAAAGGGAATTATGCAATCAAAAAATGTATTAAGTTAGGCAGTTTCTAAAAAAAAAATTTGTAGTAAGAAAAAAACTGAACAGCTCTAAGTAGCAAAGGGCAGTGGGGTGAAAAAGCAGAGATTAAAAAAGATACAGACTTAACAGGAAAAAAAAATTACTTGCAAGATAATTTCAAATCTAGAAAACAAACATAAGCATAGGTAGTGTAATAAACATTTTGGTAATCGGAAAACCTGTGCAGGGTGACTATGAGTTGGAACCAACTCCACGATATGTAACAACAACAACAACATAAAAACTAGCTAAGAGCAAAAGGGAGGATGGAGCATAGTCTTCTACATGTTTTTATAAATTTAGGGCAGAGGGGAAAAAATTGCAAGAAATGAGGTTGAATCAGTTAAGGGAACTTTTCTGTTTAAACGAAAAGATAAATATACACAAAAAAATTCACCTCTGACAACTTAAAACCAAAAAAAACCATGAAATTCTAGAATGGTAATAATTACAATTACCAGAGCAGAAGAATTATATAAGTTTGCTAAAAATGAATAAATTTATAACAACTTTAGACAAATGTCTAAATTATCCACGATATTTAAATATCAGCATTAAGGTAATAATAGTATTTTTATAGTCCATACAATGGAGTCCTGGTGTGGTTCTGTGGTTAATGTGTTGGACAACAAAGTCGGTTTGAACCACCAGGTTGGCAGTTAACCATATACAGGGTCGCTACGAGTCAGAACCAACTCGACAGCACTTAACAACAAAGTCCATACAATAAGCAATGGACTTGTGATCTACAAGGTCCATGTTTTGAGCCCACCAGCCGCTCTGTGAGAGAAAGATGAAGTTTTGTGCCCTGTGAAGATTTAAAGCCTAGGAAACCCTATACAGTTTTGCTATGAGTCAGAAACAACTTGATGGCACTTAATAAAAACAACAACACATTTTAGGTAGAACATCCTTAAAATTTCTAGTCTCCATGAGCGAAATAACAAAAATTACAAATATCAACTAATATTCTTACTTATGAGAAAAACTAAAAGCTACTAATACTAAACTCGGGCTACATAACTTAGACGACAGGAAAAAAACATGATTAAAGAGCTTTCTAAAAAGGAGGAGTTTCTTATGATAAAATAAAAATAATAAAATCAGAGGTAACTTAGCAGATTGGTAGTTTGCAAAATAAAAAATTATACAATGGAGGCAGTATAGGGATAGGTTTCATTAGGTCAAGACTATATTTAAGGTAAGTATCTGTATCCTTCATCCAATAATTTAATTGTGAAAGTTACCACCTTCCATTTATAAGTAAATAGCATTTTAGTAATAAATTAAATACATACAGTAGTGTATTTATTGAAAAAACTATGACATCTGTAGGAAAAGAATTTATGAATTTAAGAAACATTGGTATTTTTCATTTCTTACAGAAAGCAACAACTTGAACCACTCTGTACTTTAAAAGAGTCCCTTTTCTTCTCAAAAACTTAAACTGCTTTAAAAATAATGTTTTCATCTTATCTAGAATGAAAAAGTTTTGCAAATTAGCTTCCATTTACACAAGGAGATAGCAGGTCACTTCTCAGGATGTAGTGTTGATGATAGCATCCCTTCGAGTCACTTTCAACTTCTAGCAATGCTGTATAGGGTTTCCAAGACTGCAACTCTTAACAGGAGCAGAAAGTCTCATCTTTCTCCCAAAGAGCGACTGGTAGATTCAAACTGCTGACCTTGTGGTTAGTAGCCCAGCTCATAATCCACTAAGCTGCAAGGGGTCCTTCAAATACGACAGTGAAAAATATTAAAGTATTAACAGTTCATTCACTGATTAGGTTCTCTTTTCAAATTCTATTTATTGTACAGTGAGAAGGACCAAACATTTGTACATATTATGGTACTTTATATTAAACAGGTAATACCATTACATACAAATTAAATTCCTGAAACTTTTATATATCCTTTTGACTGGTAGTTCAATTTCAAACAATTTTAGCCTATGAAAATAGAAATGTAAATGTGCCAAGATTTAGCTACGTTGTTGTTAAGTGCTATCAAGTGGGTTCAGACTCATAGTGACCTTGTATAGGGTTTCCTATACAAGTGCTATCAAGTGGGTTCAGACTCATAGTGACCTTGTATAGGGTTTCCAAGGAGAAGATGGTGGGTTTGAACAGCCAACCCTACAGTCTAGCACATTATCCTGCAAGACTCCAAGATTTAACTATATAGGTATTTAATAAATTGCTCTTGGTCACTTTATAAAAATTAAAATTATAGATATGTAAATAGGCTCCTGGTAAAATAAATTATATTGCAAAAGGCTATCTTAAATAAAAAGTATGTTACAATTCAACATATAGCAAATCCTTTTTAATAAGTATATATGTCCTATGGTTCTAATAGGCAAATTTTCCATTTATTCTTTGCTTTTTCTATGGGTTGATTTTTAAAATATGTATGCATTTATTTTATAACCAGGGAAAAACCAGGTAATTAGAAATTATTGGGGAAAGTACGGTCTTTTCAATATTGAACAGATTATACAGAGTAAATTAATCTGCTGAAGAAGAGAAACTTAAGAAAGGTAAAACTTTAACAAATAATAAATACATCACAAAGTCTAGAAAGTAACTGGAGTTTTCTCATGATTTTAATAGCTACATTTCTTCTATTTACAGAATAAATTATTGAGATTTAAAAACAATACTTGAAAATCATAAGCAGTGATAAAGCTGGTAACAAAATTATCTTTTTTACATCAAGAGAATAAGTAAATACATTATCTATAAGATTTTGTCTCTCTTGTTATTAGCAATATTTATTTTTTTTATCCAGATATGTTTCCTGTCATCAAAATAGTTTAAAAATATCTAGTGACATTTCCTTTCCCTAGAAAATAAGCAAATTTATTGTTGAAATGAAACATGATTAAGGTACTTAGCAACTCAACACTAAAAAGCACACACTGAGTTCTACTTATCAGAAAATATGCTGGTATTAAAGAGGAGTGAGTAAAAATATTTAATAGAATTAGTATATTGGGAGAATCCTGGTGCAACCCTGTAGGATAGGAACTGGATTGCTAACCACAAGGTCGGCTCTTCAAACACAGACCTGCCACTCCAGAGTAACCCTATACAGGGTAGCTATGAATCAGAACCGACTCGATGACACTTAACAACAATACACTGGACCTCAGCTATTTCAAATAATGTTTATACATTTATTTTTCATAGGGTTTTTACCATATATGTAGAAATTTGTGTTTTGAGCCTGTTAATTACAGATAGATTATCAGCATTACACATCACTTCCAAAGGCTGGGCCCTAGCATTAGCACACTGAATGCAATAGGTGATGAAGTTTAATATAGTTATTAAATCTTACACGAAATACAGATCTAGCTTTAATCATTCTTAGCAGTAAGTTAGATAACTTCTTAAAACCTAGATTCAATCTCAAATTAAATAATGGAAATATTTAAAATTACAGATCTAGCTTTAATCATTCCTAGCAGTAAGTTAGATAACTTCTTAAAACCTAGATTCAATCTCAAATTAAATAATGGAAATATTTGAAATTATAAATATGCTACATGCTTGTTTGTTTAGTTTTGCTGAGAGGAAGGAAACTGAATTTCCAATTAAATGTTTCACCTTTAAGATAAATTTCAAAAAGTAAAAGCTACATATTTAAGTTTAGCTATCAAATCTAAATAAACTGGTGAAAAAATATCCTGAATTATACCATTTTCGTTTGCTCTCCATTTAAGTGTCACCATAGGATAAGCAGTGGACTACAAAGTCAGTTTGAACCACAAGGTTGGTGGTTCAAACCCATCAGCCACTCCTCAGAAATCATATACAGGGTCACTATGAGTCAGAATCGACTCGATGGCACTTAACAACAACATCATCAAATATTTAGGTACACACATTCCACATAAAATAATTCAATAGTGATTCACCTGTAAGGATTAGATCTCCCCGACCACGTCCGTATTTCTTTATCACCTTACCCCATTCTGTGCCATCCCCTGAACTCCGCGCTTCCCCAGCTCCTTCACCATCTTCAGCAGTCACTAAAAAATCAAATTCTTTCAGAGCTTCTTCAGTATCAGGGTCATCAGTGAGATCAGCAGCTAAACCTTCATTGCCTATCTGCAAATAAACCATTAACCCAAGAATTATTTTTATCCCAAATTTTAAAGCTGCCCTTTAATGTTCTCAAACATTTTTTTTTTAATTTATACATCTGTCTAAAAAATTTTTTTCTACATACAATATTTTAGATTTTCCACATAATAAACAAATCCCAAACTCTACTCTAGAAAACTGGTTTTCAACAATGCTGTGCCAAAATCAGTCGTGCTGTGTGATACAAGTAACTTTGAACTAAGAAGGGGTGAAGTACTAATAACAAAGAATAATTCACTTTTTTCCTATAAAACATAATAAACTAACAATTATACTGATTAAAGTTCCAGTCACTCACATTCTATTATGTTCTCTTGAACTGGTCTCACATATTGAGAACTATATACTTGGTATAAAATCCTCGTCCTAGATGATATGGGCGTGACAGTTAATAATAGTAATAACTAAGGTTAAAACTGGTAATTTTGATCCATGCAACAAATGAGAATTTACTGAAGGACATATTCACAATTCATGCATTATTCTCAGTATCCATGAAGACATGGATGACAGCAGTAATTCTCAGTTGCAACAAATGGATTAATGGAAAGGGGTCACTTTTTTAACAAAAGTTTCAAAACTAGTCTGAGAACCTTTATGCTCATTTAGTCAACAACAGAGAAAATACTACTCCCATATGTTAACAATTCAGTAAAAGTTGACCATATAAAATATTAAGTGTCACAAAATAAAAAATAAACCATCACTTACAAAGTCACTTAAGATGTCTCCAAAGTTCCTATTCTAAAATATATGGGTATATGTAGCTATACATAATAAATAATACACATATATATACCATATATAGAATAATACACATATATATATTACACTAGCTAAGGAAAATATAAAATTGAGTTTCTACTTTGTGTTTATTTATCCGATGCTTGTCTTTTCCTTCTGGGATGCCTCCAATCATATCGTTTTCTTCATCTTCATCACTGTCATCAGCATTTTCTAAGAAATTGAATGTCTCAAGAACATCACCAGAGGGTCTGTAGGAGGAAAAGATGAATCCATGTGTTTTAGTGGTTAAATCCAATATTTATTATATCTATTTTAAAACAGTACTTGAAAGTAGCTATACAGATCCAAATGACTTTTATAAAGTATTGTTCTAAGTATTTCGCCCCTCTCCCCCCCCCAAAAAAAAGTTACAAAAAGTATTTATCTTAATCTCTAGGATTAAGGTAAAAGTAATTGCTCTCTGTAGATTTAGTTTCTCGGATGTATGTTGCCCAGAATGTTTTAGATTTAAGGTTAATTACTGCATCAAAAAATAATCCTATAATATTAAGACTCATATAGTCTTTGGGCTAGGAACTAAAACGACAGCAGTTTGAAGACACCAGCCACTCGATGGGACAAATGATCATCTGCTTCTATAAAGATTTACAGCCTCAGAAGCCCTAGGGTGCAGTTCCATAGGATCACTATGCGTTGGAATCGACTGGACAGAGGTCGATTTTTTTCTATTAATCAAATGTTAAACTTCCTGGTCTGATCTTCGAATTTTCCTATATTCTTTTTCCCCTTTCCATTTTCTAGAATAGTTCTCCAAATTCATCTTCCAAGTTCTAGAGTAGAAACTATTTCTACTATGTATTTTATTTCTATGAGTTCTTTTTTGATATGACAGAATCTTTGAAAATTGCATCCTACTCTGTAGGTACACTCTCTCAGGAGCCTAATTATAGTTGTGAAATTTGCTCCCTACAAATCTGTGATCTGAGCTCCTTTGTTTAGTTCTACTGCTTGCTAATCTTCACATTAAAATCTTTCTGTAAGTATTTACATTTAAGAGTTAACTAACTAGATAATCTGTGTACACTGGTGTGGCTTGCCAAGTATCAAGCTTTACTTATGCAAGATAGGACAGAGGCCAAGCCATTTTCCTGGTAGATGGAAGCTGTCAAAATCACTAGGTCTTTTCTAATGAAGGAGCTCTGGTGATGCTGTGACATAGGCACTAGACTGCTAATCACAAGGTTGGCAGTACAAACCCACCAGCAGCTGCTTCTTAGGAGAAAGATGAGGCTTTCTGCTCCCATGAAGATTTATAGCCTACAATAATACCCTTTTTATTTTTATGAACTAATGAGCTTGGTTACTTGACTAGCTAAGTTAATACTGCATAACACTTTTTGTATTTTCTCTTACGTTATAAAAAATATCTTTCTGACAGGTGAAGACAGAGAGAGGTATACAAGGGCTAAAAGGGACAGAGGTAAATAATGTTATGTACACAACCTGGGAACAGTAGTGTTCTGTGGGTAGATACAGGCTGAATGGGTATGAAAGGGAGAGTGACAGTATAACCACAAAAATACAGAAAGGTTTGACAGAGGATATCTATACATAGATAATCACCCTCGTTACAAAGACATAAAATGATGAAAACATCTTAGATAGTATCAAACATCTTAAGGCAATGAGTTTCTGGGTCTGGAGGTTCAGGAGCACAGTCTTAGGCAACACCATGGTAAACAGGCATAGCAGAGCCCACAGAGGCAATTGTCTACAACCTAATTTGGTGAGTAAGGAGCTCTGGTAGCATAGTGGTTACGAATTGGCTATAAACTGCAAGGTCAGCAGTTCAAAACTGCCAGCTGCTCCATGGGAGAAAGATGAGGCTTTCTGCTCCCGTAAAGATTTACAGCCTTGGAAACCCTGTATAGGGTCGCTATGAGTTGGAACCGACTCCACAGCACATAACTACCATGATCACCAATTTGGTGAGTAGCATCTGGAATATGAAAAGCTTGTGAGCAGCCATCTAAGGTGCAACTATTGATCACTCCAAATGCAGAGAAAGAACAGTGAAGAGAACTGAAGATGCTTGGAATCAACTAGTCCAACGGAACAGGACGAATAGTTAGTCACCATGATTCTGAAATCAGAAGAAATAAATGGTGTCCAACTGTTCTGAAAAGGATCATATTAGAAGGTCCCAAAAAGAGTGGGAGAAAATATAGAACAAAACTCAAAATTATAAAAAAGATCAGCAGGCTTCACTGGTCAGAAATAGACTAGAGGAGCTGGAGACAATGGCCCTCAATCACCCTTGGTCTGGACTGGAACTCCCTTGTAGCCCAATTTTAAGCCAAGCAGTAGAGAGGTGTATAGGGTGCATACACCACCAGTAAGGTATACTCACCAACGAATAGTCAATCATTTAGTATCAAAAGGGCAATAATTACCTAAGGACAAAGTTGAAAAGGGAAGGGAAGGAGGGCTGAATGGAAACAGGAACCACAGGGAGGAAGTGGGCAACTATTGTTGTTTACAGAAGGGGCTACAATCAGTGAGATGAAATACAGTGTATGATTTGTTGACTGCAAAACTGATAGATTTCTCTGTAAACCTTCATTCAATTCACAATAAAATTAATAAAACTAAAGAGATAATGAATTTTTTCCATGGTGGGCAAAGGATTCTCTTCTGAAATTCGGAATGAAGAAAATATGAGCTCTGTTAGGTGCCAGATTATTTTTATTCAAAATCAAAGGTTTATGTTAAACGGAAGGTTTATAGAATATGTTTCAGGTAAATGTATAATGTCAAAAATAAATTTAGGGTATGAAATTATAAGCTTTTACTAATTCTTAAACACTAAATCAGCTCAAAACAAACACATTTGGGTTTGTCCTTCCTCTTTTTGCTTTCTTTGTACTTACAACCTATATATATACACTTTGGGCAATGTATACTGCTAAAAAATGAAAAAGTTCCACATACTTACTACTTGCATTTATCAAACTTGTATTAATCAAAAATAAATGCATTACCTCCACTGAGTTGAGAGACTTCATTAAAGTTACGTATAGTTCCCTTCCATTTAAAATACACACATAGCTGAACTAATTAAGGGCATACCTATGTGACATGGCATATTCCTTTTCTTCCATGTCAACATCACAGCATTCATCTAGTCAAAAAATTCTGATTGAAAACCTACTGTGCAAAGGGCTTGGAAACACCAATAGATGTGGTGGGCAGATTTCCTGAGATCCGTTAGGTAAGCTTACATTCGTAATTTTATTGTTTAAAGCCCTCGCTGGCCCCCCACAAGCTCCCAATTAGCCATAGAAGCTCATCTGAAAAGCATGGTGGTATTTCAGAGCAACTTAGCTGGGTTCAGTGGGATTTTTCAAAACATTATGAGTAGTCCATGAGACTGGTCCCAAACAACATGGTTAATAATCTATATTGCAAAGTTCTAGGGCCTGTTCAAATGGTTCCAACATTAAAATTATCTAATGATCTAGTAAGCAGTGGGCTGTTCAGGGAAAGTTCGATCAGAGTGGCAGCATCTTGATTTCAGTGGAATCTAGGAAGAACACAATCCCTGTCAGTAGCTGGAGGGACAAGGAACACAGTACATTTTGAAGATAAGATGAAGACTTGGCAGGGTTAGGCGCTTTGTCAATTGAGTTGGGTATTGACCTGGGAACTTTAGTAATAGAAACAGGAGCTAGTTTATAGCCTGTATTGAATTCAGGATCAAAGAGAGCTCAATGGTGTTATGGATTGAACTGTATCTCCCTAAATTATGTGTTATAAATACTAACCCCTATTACCTGTGGTTATAAACCCATTCGGGAATGGGGTTCCTTTGTTATGTTAATGTTTAATATGAGTGTATCTTAGATTAAGGTCTTTTGAGATATAAAAGACACTAAACAAGCAAGTGGGACTTCTGGTGTGGTGCTGTAGGATCAGCACTGGACCTCGAACCACAGGGTTGGCAGCTCAAACACACCAGCTAGCTGCTCCTTGGAAACCCTATACAGGGTCACTATGTGTTAGAACCAACTTGATGGCACTAACAACAACAACACAATAAGCAAGTGAGTAAGCAGAGATGGGGGAAGATATGACACATGAAGATCACTAAGTTGCCAAAGAAGAAAGAACATTCCCCCAAAAGCCAACAAAAAATTTAAGTGTTCCCCTAAAGTTGACATCCAGAATTTGGACTTCTAGGCTCCAAACCATGAGAAAATAAATTTCAGTTTGTTAAAGCAAGGGGTGGGAAAGGTACATGTAGTAAACAAGTAGTCACAACTATTGATGAAGATATGAAGAAACTGAAACTCTTACACACTGTTGGTGGGAATGCACCTACTTTAAAAATGAGTTTGGCAATTCCTCAAAAAGTTAAAACAGAGTTAATATATGAAACAGCAAGTCCACTTTTAGGTATATACCCAAACCAACTGTAAACACATATCCACACAAGTATACATACGTACCACACAAATGCTCAAGAATTAATCCAGACACCTCCCCCACACAAAGGGTAGACAGGGATGGGCAACTTGGACATTGGCTACCCAAAATGGGGAGAGGGATACAAAGGTAAGAAGTGACTGGCTTACAAGCTTTCAAGAGGGA